CCTGATGTACACCTTTAAAATTTGTTTAATAGAGTACAATTATCTCTAACTTTGAGTGTGGTATTTGTGGTCTGGACACTAATATTGAATGAGAAAATCCTACAATGTTTGATGAAGCAAAATGAGAGTTTGTTGGCAACCTAAAGCAAGCAGTTTCACATGTGTAAAGTCAAATATGAAATTGGCAAGGAAGCTCTCACAGAATAGTGAGGCTTGTTAATAGCCACATGAAATGTCAGTTCTTGTTAAGTTTTTTAGAAGGATGGAAATGTTCAAAATCTATATATGACAAACACATAGCAACATGCTAACTTAAGCATATGGTTAAATTTTTATTTTTATATTGCACATTACGTACAACCTAATTCCTCAATAATATTAGCCAGATATTCAGTTATCCATTTCACCAGTTAGATATTCAGTGCTGTGGGCTCAGTATCCTTCTGTACGTCTCCACAGTCATGTCCCAGATTTAGCAATGTGTTGGTGTATGAGCCTGTCATGGGGTATCATTTTAGCAGTAGGAGGGAGGAAAAGAGTAAGGATGGATTTTAATAGATCAGTAATGGGCTTCAGAAAGGTCAAAAGGCTTGCTTTTAAATACAGAATAATATAGAATAAGAGAAATAATTATTTAAGAACAAATGCTTTTTAAAAATAAATAATTATCTTCATAGTAATATAATTTGTAGCAAAAGTCAATGGTAGCTTACCTCAAACACAGAAAGAACATTATGGATGGATCTATACTGCCATATAATACAGTGCAAGTAATCTGCATTCATAAACTGGATTATATGACAATGTAGATGTATTGATGACTGCAGTGTATGTTAGATCATTTATGTGCTTTTTACAGAAGATTATCTTTAGGCTTAACACAGCAGCTTCCAGTAAATATCCCAGGTTTGTATTTTTGTTTGTTTGTTTTATCCCCCACCCCTTAAACTGACTTTAGCCAAGGGGTGTTTGAAATCCTGGAGTATTCTGGAGCTCTGAAGCAGTCTGGACAGTCAGGTCCAATTTGACTCAATCCCCTGTCCAGACAGGGAAGGGGATGACTTATGCCCATGTCACTACTGCCACAATTACTTGCTGGCTGTAGAGCTCCATCTGAGTGCCTAGCAATCATCTGTCATGTCAGTGATGTCAGAAAGCAGTACCCACTTGTCTAGCAAGAAAGTGATAAGATGACCCCCTTCTTCTTGCTGATTTTTTTCGTACCAGGAACAACTCGAGAAACCGCAAGTCATTTCTGGTGTGAGAGAATTGGCTGTCTGCAAGGATGTTGCCAAGGGGACGCCCGGATGTTTGATATTTAACCATCCTTGTGGGAGGTTTCTCTCATGTCCGCACATGGGGAGCTGGAAATGACAGAGAGAGCTCATCCCGCTCTCCCCGGATTTGAACCGCTGACCTGCCAGTCAGCAGCCCTACTGGGACAAGGGTTTAACCCACTGCACCACTGAGGGCTCCTTCTTGCAGATGACATCAGTAGAAGCAATCATCAGAACTGCCAGGTGACAACACCCAATGCACAACACCCAATGCACATTGGGAAACAGTTCCAAACAACAGCCCTAGGTTCAGCACATATGTGCTAAATCCAGGGCCACTCCAGGCTAAAAGTACATTGAGCTAACCTGGTGTAGACAAGGCATTTATGTTATTAGCAAGAACACATTTGCAGCGTATTTGTGGGGTAGGGGTGGGATTGTGCCTCTTGTGCAAGGATCTAAAGTGCAGGTTCCTGAAATATTGACACCAATAGGCCAGGATTCACACTATCAGGTGTGTGTGAGAGAGATAGAGTTAAAAGTTCAAAAATCTTCATGTCTAATTATAACGCACGCAGTCTCAGATTTGCAAACATCCGACTTGCAAATGACTCATAGTTAAGAACAGGGGTGAGACAATGGGAAGTAAGAGACATCTACCTCTAGGAAGAAAAATTCACTCCTTAAACAGTATCATGGGGGGGGGGGGATGTTTCCACTGAAGATTCATCACAAATTCTTGTTTCCACAAACCAAAATTTTCAAAATCCAATTATCACAGGGACAGAAAGTGAGGTGAAATCTTCTGAACAGGGGCACAGACAGGAAAGCAAACATCACAAGGGTGTTAACCCTTCCCTATGCTATCCAAAACTCACATATATATATACCTGTTTCGACTCACAAACAAATTCAACTTAAGAACAAACCTATTGAACCTATTTTGTTTGTAAAATGGGGACTTGGAATACTTGGAATGATCATGTATGGTAAATGATAATTGCTCTCCATACTGTATAGCAGAAGAAAGATATAAGCATGAAAAATTCTGATTTCTAGTGCAGTTTCTTACACCAAACATGTAGTAGATGAATCATTTGATATGAATCTGAGGGGAACATGTGAAAAAATCTTGTCTAGGTAGTCAGTTTAACATAAATTAACTTCATATGTGTGTGTGTGTGTGTGTGTGTGTGTTTCCTCTCCCATGTGGTAGAACAGTGGAGAGTCCATGGAGAAGTTCTCTGCTGCTAGCATTATGCAACTAATGTGCTGATATGACCATAAAATATTAAATGCATTTATCGAACTGGGACACTTCAGTATCTTGGGCCATTTTGGAGGCAATCAGACCTACACAGATGATGATGATGATGATGATGACAATAATAACAACAACTTTATTTTTGTACCTCACCTCCATTTCCCCGAAGGGACTCGGGGAGGCTTATATGGGGCTGAGTCTGATCAACACAGTTAAAACATTTAAAATACATAACAAGAGTCTAAAACTAAAAAAAAACACAACAGCATTATACTAATATATAAAAACAAGTATCAAAACCTATAACTAATAATAAAATTCAATTTATTGTCATGGGTGGGCAGAGTGGTGCCCAGATGGCCACATAATGCTACAAAAAAGCATCTGAGGTTTCATACATATGTGGATTCATTATTCAGAAATGAATGGGTTCAGTTTTCATAGCAAATATAAAATAAATCAAATTGGATTCAAATTTGGTTGTGCTTAGTTCAAATCAAAATCTATGTGAAAATGATGGTCATAACTCAAATTCCTACGCTCTCAAATAGAACTAAATGTAAATAGGTCAGCCTAGATGCAATCCATTGTGACATACAATGTCTAGTTTCTGAAGTGATGCTAAACATCTGATATATCACTCCCTCTAACAGTGAACTCAATTTATATTGGCAACATATAGGCAGCAAAAATTGTTTGATGTTTTAAAGAAGTACAACAACCCCCACATATTTTTTACATATTTAATAAAACCATTCAGTGACAAAACAAAATACAGTAAACATTAAACAGCAAGAAGACTTAGCATGATTAGTATCAACATGTTAAGTAACAACAGCTGGAAAAGTAAATTGGGGAAGCAATGAACAGAATGGAAGAAATGGCTGTCTGAATAGCAGAGAAAAGATGCTGTAACCATTTGTTGCAAGTTTAAATTGTGAAAATCATTTCATGGGTTTGTGACAATGCACATTCTCCTCCATACTGTAGAAGTAAAGAAAAAGTGTGGACATTGTGAGAAGCAGAAAAGGGATAGGCTGCTTTGAAGATTGTGGCACAGAGGGAAGATGCTTGAGGACAACTCTGATCCAAGACATTTTGCTGCTGAAGTAAATGGGGAACAATTCAAGTCAAGGTGCATAGTACCAAAGCTGGCAAAGTTATTTTGGAATAGAAAGACTCATAATTCTTGCCCTGTTCCTAGACAGAAATATAAATTAAATAACCAACCATTTTCAGTTCTTTCATGACACTCAAAATCCCCTGCTTAAGACAGCCTTATCACTTTGCCTAATGGTAGGGCAGCCCTGTCTGAGGCAGGCGCTTCAGTATGAAACATAAGGAATTGTGGTGGTGGCAGAATATAAGCAGCATGTGACACCTCTTGGCTACTGCCTACATAAATATCAGATCATGTATATTTAGGCTCACCAGGCCATAACAGCTCAGCTGTGCTTCAACAGTCAAGGAGACATATCTCCACACACTGGAGGAGGAAAAGGATGGTGTTTGATTTCATATGGCTTTAATGCTGAGCATCAATCTCCATCCATCCAAGCTGGTGTCAGGCTCCTTTCGCTCAGTGCGAAGGTATTTGGATATGTGCTGGACTTGTGTAATCACAGTGCACCAAAAGACAGAAGTAAGGAGAGAGACTGGTGGGAGAAATATACCCTTGGACATTTAGAACAGGGCAGTAAATAAAACTATGAATCAGCACCATTCATTACTCTTCCTGATGTAGAAGTCTAACATCAGCAGTACAAGACCTGGAGGGAACAAATCTCTGACAGCTGACAGTGCGCTTTAAGACCCAGAAGCAATGCAGGATCTTTTTAAAAAGAGATTCCACATCTCATGTGGGATGTAAATAAAGGTCATGGGATTTATGAACCCTAGAAGAAATGCCAGCAACTGCTTCAGCTACTAGGCACATTTTACTGTCTGCCTGCCCAGCAAAAAGAATAAATAAATACAAGTTTTTAAAAGGTATTATAGGAAGGGTTCTCCCTTGGCCCTGGTTTGCCATAGTTTTTTAGTTAGCCAGGGTCTATGTATCTCTATTGTCCTTTCCACAATCAGATGATACAAAACAACCTTCCAACCTTTACCTAGCCAATATCTTTGCCATTGTGAGCTCTAATCTCATGACAGCACAGAGCTCACTCCTGTGACAGCACAATGATCTGTCCACAGATCTCAGGTTTTGGGCTCTAAAAATCCCAGTGAATGGGATACTGCTGAGCTAGCAACCTTATAATGTGCTGCCGCATCAGGATTATAGTAATAATACATTTACAGGCAAATAAAGGTAATGAAAGAAGGAGAAGATACATACTTCAGCAGGTTAACTATTTACTGAGAGCAAGTCTTTCTACTTGTGCTTGAGGAACAAATAAGAAACTGAATTACCTGTAAAAACATCTAACAATAATTACAGTGTTGCAAAACAATCTTACCCAGCAGGTTTGTCAACCATAGAGCCAAATCCTCCTTCATTGGTAACAAATTAGCCTCATGTCTGCTGGCCAGCCACTGGCTATACTGGTGCATGTCGGAGAGGCCAGGGCCTCGGGCCTTGGGGCTCAAGGCAGTGCACATCCTTCAACCACTGGCACTACCTGTTTTCAAAAACAAAAAAGGGAAGGGAGAAAGAAGTAATTTAGTGTGTCTCATGAAGCACTGGATTTTTATTAGTGGTGGCTGAGAATGGTTCAGATTCTATATGAGCTTAAAATAAAAGATGGCAGACAAAAAGAAGTCCATTCCATGAAAACAGTATATATGATGACAACCATATGTTGCTTATTATGACTATCCTGTGGTTAGTCTGACTAGAGGAGACTCATTGACTATTAGGATCTGCTTATATGTTGACACACCATTTAACTATTGATTAAAAAATCCACCCACCCTCATTATTATTGAAATTGAGCATTTTATAGCTGGTGATCTAGGAACATAGAAGAGATGAATGCCTTTGACATATTTACCCTATTGTCAAAAGAACCCCCCTGCAAACCAAATTAAAAAGTCAGATAAAGAAGCAGTTAATCAAAGAGGTAAACTATGTAACAGGCAATTATTTGTTATAAATGGGACAGATTTCTCAAAAATAGAATCTGTCTGACATCTGGAAAAAAGGATAAATAATATTTACACATCCATACTGGTATTCTGAAAGAGACACGAAGCAGATCTACAAGACATTATGAAGTATTTCCAGAGAATTTCCAGCACTTTCTTCAGCTGAAAATAAACTAAACCAGTATTTCCCAAATTAATGAAATGAACCTCTCTTTGGCAGTGTGATTTTGGTATCGTAGCTAAGACAACTGCCAACAAGAAACATGGCGGCTATTCCCAGAACAACAGATTTAACAGAGATCAAGTGAAGGAAATAATAATGCATTAAAAGAATATGATCCCAATGTTTAATTAGTATAATATTGATAAAGCACTTTAGCACATTGAGAATAAATCCTGAACAATAGTTAAAAAGTTCTCAACAGAAATTGGTGAAGAGCAGTTTCTGAAACATTGTCTGAGACTAAATGTGGCACATGGTCAATGGGAAAGATGGAGGAAAAAACACAAGGGATTGAGGGAAACCTGGGATATTACAAGAAAGAATTTGGAAGCAAAACCATAACCTCCCTTTTTTTGACTTGTCCCAGGTCACTCAATAGGTTTCCATGGCTGAATGGGGGATATGAATCCTAACCTTCCAAAGTCCTAGTCCAGTGGTGCTCAAACTGTGGGTCCACAGATGTTTTGACCTTCAACTCCCAGAAATTCTAACAGCTGGTAAACTGGCTGGAATTTCTGGGAGTTGTAGGCCAACACACCTGGGGACCCACAGACTGAGAACCACTGTCCTAGTCCAAAGCTCAAGCCACTATACCACACTGTATCTAGAACTATAATGCTAGTTCTAGTGTTATGGGAGTGGGATATTTTCCTGTTTACTTCCTGCATACTGTGCAGTTTTATTCATCTACATGCCGCCATTTACTCGCCCTTTTCTAACCTTAATGCTTTTTTAAAGGTACAATATGAATCAGTGTGCCATAATGAATTTAAAAAGAATAATAGCTTAATCGTAAAAGGAGTAAGCCAAGAAAGAAAGCTGGATGTTGTCCCAGTTAATGGGCAGGGTCCCAAAGGAAGCCTGGTGATCTGTCAGCTGCATCAGGATTAGAACCTAATAACCTCACAAGTTACATGACTAGGAGCAGGTGGATTTACACAGGGAGTCTGCAGCTTCTCTCCAAGGATCAGTAAGAAATGATACTGCCTGTTGGGTTCTTTGTAGGCAGCAACATGGCTCACATGGTTGCCAAATGACTGCAGGGCGCAAATCACACCATTCAGTCATTGCCGCCTGGAAGAAGGTGAAATGATAGAACAGAGTATACTGCTATTTATGAAGGGAAAATATTAATAATGTTCTTTCCTATTACTTCTGCTGCAGGACTTTTAAAAAAGGACTTATTTCTTTTTAAAAGAAAAATAAACACAATTTTAAAACAGAACTAAGCAGCTTTTCTTTAGAACAATTCATCCTTGCTTGCTTGCAGACCTCCTGCCAACTAACAATTTAAGCCAGAACTGTGACATATGCAGTCCAATTTTATACACAATAACATCCATATTTATTTCAAAGCTACAATCACAGTGAGGTGTCTGTGTATTCGGTCTGCCACCAGTATAACAACAACAATTTTATTTTGTACCCTGCCTCCCATCTTCCCGAAGGGACTCGGGACAGCTCACATATGGCACAATGGGCCCAAAACAATGCACAAAAATAAACACCACAATACAATACAGATAAAACCAATAGCATATAAAACAAAGTTTAAGCTCAAAACAGCATATGGGTTGAACTTTGAGAGTCAGTGGCTCTCAAATCTCAAACTCAACAAATAAGGGGCACTGAAGATCCTGAATTACTGAAACAAGCAACATATTTTTAATATTACTTGGACATATGAAAGAATATTCTTTTCTGTATTAAGTATGAAGACTTGGAAGACTCTTAAAGTGATAACACATTGCAAAATATTATATTTTTAAGAGACAAATGCTGATTTTATTTAAAGAAATTCAATGCATAGAACTGGATCCATTCCAATATATATCAGACCCAAGCAAAATGTTGTTTCTTGCACTAAATAACCATGAATGAATTATGTACACAAAAACCCTAAACTCTGAATACTCTCCAAAAGCTGTGTGGCTTTCAAAGACTTTCTTAAAGTGGGAATAAAAATTCTAAAATTACTCCTTGTTTCCTTTGAGAAAAAACTTTGTGAAGATTTCATCCCTCAAGGCATGACTTATATTTCATATGCACAAAATCATGTATTCATTCTAAAAATGTAAATGCCTAAAATATGTATTTTATTGGGAGGGGGTGGTCCAATTTTGCTAAAGTTTTCCAGCCCGGGTATTTCTCCTCATCTTCTTTTTCTTCTTTGTTGTCCTCATCTTTTTTTAAAAAAATCAAGGAAGCAAATATGTGTGTTTTCCTGCTTTTATCCTCATTGCAGCTACAGAAAACAGGGTAGAATCTGGAGCCCCCGGTGGCGCAGTGGGTTAAACCCCTGTGCCGGCAGGACGGAAGACCGACAGGTGGTAGGTTCGAATCCGGGGAGAGGCAGATGAGCTCCCTCTATCAGCTCCAGCTCCTCATGTGGGGACATGAGAGAAGCCTCCTACAAGGATGATAAAAACATCAAAACATCCAGGCATCCCCTGGGCAACATCCTTGCAGACGGCCAATTCTCTCACACCAGAAGCGGCTTGCAGTTTCTCAAGTCACTCCTGACACGACAAAAAAACAGGGTAGAGTGAGGTAGGCTAAAAGATCATAATGATTAATATGAAACCACTCAATACATTGCAGGATCTAGCAGGAATACAACCTCCACTCTTCCTGGTCTCTATATAGTATAAAATCCACCATGTTCTTCTATGGTGTGCATTGTTAGGAAACCAGTGTAGCCCAGTGGCTTGAGTGATAACTTAGAACTCAAGGATATTCAGGTTAAAGTCTCCACAAGGTGACCCTGGGCACGTCACATTTTCTCAGGCTTAGAGAAATGCAATTCAACCCTTCTTTGTATACATCTGGCCAATGGAAGTCCTATGATATGATAGTTGTGAACTCAAAGGCACATGGCAAAAATAATTGTGGTGATTTAACACTCAAAGTAGTGAGTTCATTCTTTTAGACCTTAGCATAACCCCTTATGAAAATGACAAGCACATGGAAGATTTCAAAGTCAAAGTCCCAAAATGTCTTTACAAAATATTTGGGGCTTAATATCAATACCACTACTACAAAATACATTATAAATGGCATGCTTCTAGGGAAAACAGGGCAGGGAAGAATCTATTTCTGTCTTGCAATGGAATATGAATACCCGAAACACTTACCTCTTTTTTTGCTTTATTTCAGTCATACACCTTCTCCATACTTCCTTCTCTAGATAGTTTCATTAGGAACAGGTCTTTATTTATACTCTGTTGTGCTGTACCTCCTATTTATGCAGTGTAACACTCTCTATCTCTCTGCCAATAGTAATGAAGCATCTCTAATTCTTAGCCTTATTGTCTATGTCAAAGATTCAGCACAGGATAGTTTACAGTACACTTAATGGCATGTAACAGTTTCAACAAGCTGGAAGGCTCCATTCCTTCCCATTCACTCCTGCCAAACAGTGAAGTTTTTATGTTCCTAGACAGTAGTGCATTTAGTTTTCTGCATATTGTCGCTCCAACTAGGAGCTTGCCAGCTCTGCAATTTAAACTGTCTGCTGATGTTTGCCTGTGATCACCAACGATAAGCAAGAAAGGTCAGGTGATCCTTTGCTATCATTCACTGGGTTGTGGCTTGATGTTTGATTTTCTTTCTTGCTTTCTTTTTGGCACTAATGAGCAAAACTAATATGAGCAGTGGGTTGCAACCACCTATGAGTCGAAGAGACAGATTTGCTCAAGGACTTACAGCAGGTCACACTTTGAAAATAATCTTTTTTGTTCTGTTCTGAGGTTGCAATGACCAAGTTCAAGGCTATGGCTTTTTTTAAAACTCCATGCGAACTAATGAATGTCAAATCTTCATGTACATGGTTTTAAATTGCTACTGTTTTTTTAAAAGTAGTTTTAATTGTTCCTTATAAAGTGATTTTCACTATGACTATCTACAATATGTTTCTAACTTTTTCAAATTAGGTATGCTTTTATTCTGAATATGTTTCAAACTGAGAGTCCATGGTAAAGGGTGGAACAGCAGTGCTCAAGTAAATAAATTAAATAAATAAATAAGGCAACTTAGTGTTGGTGTCCTTTATTGCAATCCTATCTTTTAGTACACCTGGCAGTACGTCACCTTGTTCCATTCACTTATGTTTACTCAAAGGGACTTTAGTCTCAATAAACATGCAAAACTGATCATTGCCCCTGAAGTGAAGGAAATATGTCTCAGTCAAGTTTTGTACTTTAGAATCAAAGGTCATGTTTACGAGAGCAAGCTATGTTAAAATGGTTTCATTTTGTCATCAGCTAATCTGATCTGCAATAAACCTTGGAAAATCCTAATGCCCATCATAGA